TTTTATATAAAATGTTATTTCAGGGCGCCTGGGTGGCTCAGTCGTTAAGCGTCTGCCTTCGGCTCAGGTCATGATCCCAGGGTCCTGGGATCGAGTCCCACGTCAGGCTCCCTGCTCAGCGGGGAGCCTGCTTCTCCCTCTCCCACTCCCCCTGCTTGTGTTCCTGCTCTTGCTATGTCTCTCTCTGTCAAATAAATAAATAAAATCTTTAAAAAAAAAATGTTATTTCAGACATCTGGATAGCACTTGTGCTCCTCCAGGTAGGCATCTTCTGTATCCTGTGGTTTTGCACCCCAACACACTCTGGCCCCCCACGCCTGCACCCAGGATAGAAGGCTCCCGTTTTTTTAAAAGCAACAGGTCAAGCCGATAAGCTGCATCCTCCCTCTTCACTTGCTGCCTTTTCTAGGGAGGAACTTATATGGGAACTTTCATGGACTCTGGGTCTGGGGGACACCCCAGTGGTGACAGAGACTGCTCATTCACAAGGATCACCTTTTTCTCCCAGGCCCTGTCCCCAAGGTCAAGACACTGAGCATGGTGAAGGGCCCCTGTAGAAACTGCAAAGAGGCCCTTATTCTCTCACCTATAGGGATATGCTAATTTGTCACCAGGGCCTACAAAGGAAACGGACAGTTGGGATCCCAACTCCTGCCCACCCCGTTCTGGGACTATCAAGGCTTCGATCCCAGGCAGGCCAGCTTGCACCTCCACTCACTTCCTCCATCTCGGGCTCCACAAGCCTCAGGGACGAACAGTCACAGAGCTCCTCAGTGGCAAAGCTAGCCGCACCTCCCATAACAGACAGTTCCTTGTGTAGCACCTGCATCCTGCTACCCAAGGACCAGCTCCCTGGGGACAGGGTCTGCGTTTTCTGTGCCTTCCCCCCAACCCCCCGCACCCAGCTGGGCCTGTTAGGTGCCCTCAAGTGCTTGTTGAGTTTAATTACTGTCAGCAGCTCTTGGGTCCTGAAGACCTATGTCCCTGCCCGCCGGCTGACTTCCGGGGACTCAGACTTCCTGAAAACCCTGCCCAGGGGAAACCCCCAACATTCGGCCTGCCCTTCTGCCCCTGGCCTGAGGAAGACACGGCCTCAAACAGCAACCTCCAACCCACGGGGTCGGCCTCAGGTCTCCTCCTGAACTGTCCTTCACACCCTGGCCAGGCCGATGGTTTGGAAGAAACCGGTCAGTCCCTTGGCCACAGTGGGGGGGTAGGGGGGGAACAGCTGGGGGACCGTCCTCACCCACACTCCCTGCCTTTGCTTAGGTCACTGCACCAGGCTGGAAAGCTCCCCTTTGTCCTTCAACCTCGGGGTCCTTCCAGGGAGGATCAAGCCAGGAGCTCCCGTCTCAGCAAATTAAGGAGAAAGCTCTGTGGCTACAGTTCTTAAACCTGGCTTTCAAAAAAGGGGCTTTAAAAAAAGTACAGATACCTGGGGTCCCACTCCAGACCATTTAAGTCAGAATTTCTGGGGGTGAGGTAGGATGGGGGCCTGGTTATTAGTATTTAGAAGAATAACCTTCGTGATTCCATCAGATTCTCAGAGACAGGACCCACAAAGTGGTAAGCACCAATAATGGTTATGCCATCTGGTCAGACAAGCCAGGCCAGAAACCCCAGGCCTCGGCATGGTTTATATATGAGTACCACCTTCCCAGGGCAGGCGAATCCCTTTCCTGCCTGCCGATTCAAGCCCTAAGGGACACATCTCAGCTTTGTCAGGATCCCACAGGCAGACAGAGCAGGGGAAGGGAGCAGCACGTGTCCTTGGGGTCAACGCTATCTTCTTCCTCTACTGGCAAAGGGGATCCTGCGGCCGACTTCGGACTTGGTGCACTTCTACCAAAAACTCAGCCTCCCAGAAATCCCTGGGCCTGTCCCTTCAGCTCCAGTACTGAGGCCTGGATTCCCCCACCGCCTTTCACAACCCCACCGCCTTTCACAATGGCTGAGGGAGGCCACCCACTGGTTAAAGGCCAGAAGGGAAGCTGGGCCTCATGGCCTGGGCCCTGTCCAGGGTCCTGACTCCTGGTCAGAGCACTTTTTTTTCTGGCCCTCTAGCACCTCACTCCGGGTATAGAGGGAGCCCCTAGATCTATACCCTCAGATGCACTCAGAAGGGTGGCCCCTGGCAGGTCATCACGGGCGGTCGCCGGTCTGGCGTAAACCCAAGCCCAGCCCTTACTGTGGCTTTTGGCTCCACTATGTGCTGGTGCTGCTGCTATGCTAAGGCCTCCAGGCCATCAAATGCCCCAGGCCATCACCGTCCACGGTGAGAAATGAAGAGACGAAGGGAACCATGGGCTTCCCACCAGGGAGGGGACTGCACCATGCTCATCAATTCACAGGCATTCTGGCTGGGACCTTGGGTCAGACTAGGAGCACGCTGTGTGACCAGCCTGACAGCCACCCCACAGAGGTCTTACTCCAGGGACTGGATACATGGGACTCACAGATCCCCTTCCACCACGGGGACCAAAGCCCTCTGCCCTCAGGCCCAGCAGACTATAAAGGCCCTCCTCCCCAACCCTTTCACAGAAAGAGCGGGGAACCGCCCAGCGAGGAGATTTAGTGCAAACATTATCTGCCGCCAAATCCTTGCTTTTCATCTCCGCCTTCTCATGAGCCAAATAATTTGGAAGCTTTCATTGATGGTTTCCTCTCGGCCCCACGATCGCCTGGAATTTATGCCGGCTATGGCTCAGCCTCCTCACTTAGGGGACGAGGGAAACCTCATAGGCTACACTCCAGCCTGCTGTGGGAGGAAAAGCTTGTCCTTGGCGACAGTTCAAGACAGGGAGGGCTTCCTCAGCCCTCCTGGAGCCCAGGACTTGAGGGCGGATGTCTTCAGGCAGGCCTCAGAGCTGCCTGCAGAGGCCCCTGGGCTCGAACCCAGGGCCACGCACAACCAGTCCCCAGCAGGGCTGGGCATCGGCACCCCTACAATGATGTGAGTCTATTTTTAGGTGGAGATAGGTTCAAAGGCTCTGTGCTGGAAAACCCAAGAGGTAGGGGAATTTTCAGCCCCATGCAAATCACTCTTTCCCTTTGGCCTTCACTTACACCTGTTTCCTCCCAGCCCCTGGCCTATCCAGGGTACAGACGGCAGCCCTGCCCCTGGGATCTCTGCCTTGAGAAATGGCCCCACCTCCTCCTGGTGTTCAGAGAAAGCAGGGCAGGCAGAGTGAGGTGAACCAGCCAGCCCCAGCAGTTCCCCAGAACTTCCCCAACCTGCCACTGAGAGCAGGGGCAGGTTGAATTCTGAGACAGGTTCCTCATCTCCAAAATGGGCAGAGAATTCCTCCCTCCTAGGTACAGGGAAGGCACATAAAAGTGGCTGCTGTTTTACTAATGCAACCACAGTAACTGGGGAGCCTCAGTGGCTCTCAAGATGAGGGTAGGAAGGCAAGGTGGAGTGAGGGTGGAGGAGCAGAGAGGTGGTCCCAGCGGCTCCCAGAGCCCTAGAGCACACTCTGCCTCCTGCATCCCAGCGCCCTTGAGCATATCCATCTACCTACTGAGCAGGGCTAGTCCAAGAGGGTGCTTAGAACCTCAAAACAGCAACCCACATGCCCGCCTAATTCCCAGCTTTTGTCCCAGTCCTCACTGCATTCCCGGAGGTATCTCCTTCCATCTCCACCCCTCCCCCATGGGGCCAAAGGAGGTTACTAGGCTAGGGGATGGGGATGGGAGGCATCAGATCTCAACCACCCCACCCCACCCCACCCAAAAGGAGAGTCCCAGGGTAGGCCACCTCAAGGGAGGATGTGGGGAGTTCTTTTTCAAATGCAAGGTTCTGCGGAAGATGCCCCCACTGCCCCCAAGGGGCTGGCTAACTACTGCTGCTCAGGATTGCCCCCGAGCCAGGACTGTGGTTAGCAGCCATGACTGTGGTTCGGGGCGGGGGGAAGAGGGCTCCAGGCTCAGAACAAAGATACCCTCCCCCACTCCGTGTCAAGGACTCTGCCCCAAGACTCTGCGCCCTCCCACCCTTGGCAATTTTGGCCTCAAGAGCTTCAGGTCTTGGCTCTATAACCCTGGGATCCTCAATTTCCTTATTGTAAGAGACGGACTGAGAAGGACTAAAAAAGTGAAGCGTCCAGCCCAACTCCTGGCTAGGCTGAACAATGTCTCCTTTAAAGGCCAGATTCAAACCCCCTGCTTCTTGGGGGCTCAATGCTCTTGCAGCTGCGTCTGTGCAAAGGGCCTCTTCTGTGCCCAGTGCAATGCACTGAGGACCTGAGAGAGAGTGATGTGGCCCTAGGATGTGATTTTTCAGGGGTCACAACAAGCAGGATCACGATGTCCTTTCATGTCCAACACTACCCACCCCCCACGCTCTTCTCCACAGCTCGAGAAGCCATGAACACCTACCTCTACGTGCCACAAGAAACATCCCGGGTCCAAGTAAGGAAGGCTGGGGATGCAGATGCACAGGACACGGGCAGAAGGAGCAGATGACTTAACTGGATGATCCTGAGGACCGTAGCCCTCACCCCTGTATCAGCACAACCTGGCGCCCTTGGCTTGGCCTCCAGAACATGCCAAATCCAACCACTTCTTCCTCCACTGCCACTCCCTGGCTCTCAGCCACCGTGGCTTCTCTCCTGAACAACTGTAGACGAGTCCCCCTGGCTCCCGCCCTTGCCCGCATATTTCTTCTTCTTCTCCTCACAGCAGCCAGTGGGGCCTTTTGTTAATGCGTCAGACTCTGTCATTACCCGCTTACAATCCTGGAAAGGCTCCTCCTCTTGCTCAGCTGAACTGGAACGTCTTTACAACAACCTACACAGTTATCACTGGCATGCGCGCCCCCTTCTCCCATTCACTGCACTTAGCCACACTGGCCTGGCTCTGCAGGGCCCGTCCCCTCTGCTGGGAAGGCTCTTCCCCAGGCACCTGCAGCGTCCCCTCCCTTCCTCTCCACAGCTCTCCGCTCCTGTCACTTCCTCCCCCACCACCACTTCCTCTTTGTCCGGACACTAGGCACTACCCACCTCTGAGGGCTTCTTTTCGTTCTGCCGGGGCCAGCCCGACTTGGTGCTGCTGGGCAGTTTGGAGCATCGTGATGCAGTTGTAGCGTGACCTGCAGAGAGAGCACAGCCCATTAGGGGCCCCTGAAAGGCCAGGGACACCACCCACCCACCCATCCCCGTCCAAGGACAGGAAGCCTGTAAGGAAGGCTCTGGCTTGAATGTTCAGGAGGTGGAAACCTCTGTGAGCACCTGTCCCCGCTCTGGACCTCTCCAGGGAGAAGTGGGGACATGAATGCTTCCCCTGCTCACCAAGCACAGGGGTTTAGGAAATAAAAGGCAGTGACCTGGACTCATGATTAGCTTACTGTGTGACCCATGACAAGTCCCTTGCCCTCTTTGTTCTCCTGCATCTTCCTTGGAGAAGGAGGCCTTCTGTGGCCACGCTTCATTCCTGCCCCAGGTGGAGACACTCTGGGATGATGCCCAGTGGATATGCAGAGGCACAAAAGGGCAGTGGGATGAATGCTGCTCTAAAGTAAACCCATTTACCAGCTTGTCACCCTGGGCAAATGACTTTAGCTCTCTGGGAGCAAAGAGCTGTGAGAATTCAGTGACGCCATGCCTGTTGAGGCTTAGCAGAGTCCCGGGACCAAAGCACGGCCTCCATAAACATGAGCTATCACTGCTAGAGTCTGAGGTCCTGGCTGGACTGCAGGACTGCAGCCTCCACCCCGTGGGTCCAAGCAGTGGTGGCCACGGGTGGGTACAGTGGTGGGGGCTGGTGGGAAGGGAGCATGCCGCAGCCCGGCCCAGCTCTGCTGCAGCGGCCCAGACACCGGCTCTTGCAGGTGCCTGGCCCTCAGGGGTTCCTGTCCTGAGTGAAGTTAGAAGCAGCAGAGAATGCAGTTCTTCTTGGCTCTGTTGAGACAAGGCACAGGCAGTGCGGTTGTGGCCACAGAGGGCCGGACGCTGTGATCTGCCACAGGGAGGAAGGACTGGCCAGGTTAGACACCAGAGCCAAGCTGAGCCAACAGACCCTAAAGGGCAGTGAATGAGACCTGGAGGTAGGGAAGCGGCTGGGACTGACTGGCCGTCTTGGTGCATCTGTCCTCAGGCTCTTGGGGGGCTCTCCGCAGCTGCTCACCACAGACGTGAACAAAGTGAGGTGCAGAGCTGCAGGGCTCCAGGCCCAGCCTTCCTGGCAATGAGTTCAGCCTCTTCCTCAGTGCGGGCTCCCCCCAGGGGGCACCGCTAGGCGGAATCCTCCTGGCAGCGCACCTCTCCTATGTAGGGCAGAACGGAACTCCTTACCGGACCAGCTCACGCAGGCCCAGGTTCCTGCGGCATCTGGGAAGAGCTGCCTTCTGGTACTAGAGAAAAGCTCTCGTCTTCTGCAAACCTCTCTTATCTCCCCCCACATTTGAGAAGAGGCTCCCTAAGCCCCCTTTTCTCCTTGACAATCCCTGTGACCCCCAAGACATCCAGCTGCCACAACCAGCCCATACACAAGTCTACCTCTGGGATTCTCCTGCCAAGATCCCTTGTTAATTCCTTTGACAAACATTTACTGAACATCTATTATGTACCTGATCTAGCTGGGGATACAGCAACCAGCCAGACATGACCCCTCTTCCTCTTATCAAGGAGTTTACCGCTAATTAGGAAATGATATTTGTATCAGGTAATTATCATATAACTTAACAGGTTTTCTGTCTGTTTCTACACAGCCCTGATTTAACGTAAGGGCCAGAGGGAGAGGGATGTGTTCCAAGCAGCCAGGAGCAGCAAATGCAAAGATCCAGAGAGGATATGATCTTTTCTAACCAGAGCAAAACATGTGGGATTGAGACCTAGTGGGGAAAGGGGAGTAGGGTGAAGACACCAAGGCTCAAAAGGCCACAGAGGTGTGGGGACTTTCTTAGGAGTACAAGGAACTGGCCTGATTTATGCTTTCATCAACTTTGAGACCATGGGGCAGCCTCCCCCCATTTGGGCCTGTGGGCCTGATAATTATTCCAATGCTTTCCTTGCAGGAGCCCCAAATGGAAGGCCTTACTGTCAGTGGTGTCAGAGTTGTCGCTGCTGATGGAGTATTTTCGCCTCTTCTCTTCCATCTGCAACAAAAGGCAGGCCCCATTACACTTACAGGAGGCTTGGGAAATCCTCAGTCTCTCAGAAAACTGCCCGATAACCTACCTCCCCATACTCACCCTGCTGCCGTGGAAGAATGAGAAGAAGGCCCTGCCCTAGCCTTCTCCCCAGCCAGCTTCACCCTCTCTCCCCACCCACCCACGGGAGCCCTGGGGGTGGGGCAGGGGGCTGCATCTCCCACCTCCTGACCCCAGAGCCTCAAGATGAACAGGAGTCTGGCCAAAGATGTCAGAGGGAGGGCAAGGGGGTCAGTAGCCCCAGAACAGTTCGGGCCTGCTCAGCCCTAGCTTCCACTCAAGGCAACTCAGGTCCTCCGGAGAATCCACGCCCACCCCGGAGGAGGAGCAAAAAGGGTAAACAAGACTGACTGTTCCAGAGGGACCATGCCATCTGAGTTTAGAAACAAGCCAGCTCAGACAGCACTAAGGGCACATCCTGAGGGTGGTGGCCAGAGGAGTGTGGAAAAGAACTAGGAGCAGGGAGGCTCTGAGGTGGGTCCCTGAGACGCGCCCAGCCCGGGGTGACTGGTCCTAGGCTGGGCTGCCCTCCCTCCTGCAATGTCCTTCTCCAGATAAGAGCATAAACCAACTTTATCTCAACTACAGTATTTTACTTCAAGGTAAGATGGGCAGCTCCCCACACTGAGCTCCTTCCTCTACCAACACTGGCTTGGCTCACGTTCCTAACACCCCGGGAAGCTCTGAGTTATTGGCTTCCTTACTACAGAGGACTACAGAGGCACAGAGCCTTGTCCTGCTGTAACTGGCTGAACTGGGATTTGAGTCCATGTGGTCTGATCCCTGAGCCCACACTGAGCTGCCTCTGTGCCTGGGTGAGCTCCCGCCTGCGGACAGTGCTTTCCCACCATTTCCTTGGATCCTGCGGACTCCAGGGTGGCAGAGCTTGCTCCAGTCTCCTCTTGGAGGGGAGGACCCCAAGGGGCTTGTTCACCTGCCTTGGGTCTCACAGCTAGTCAGGGGCCGAGTCCTAACGTGAGAACAGATCTGGGATTCGGGACCCAAAGCATTTTCAACCACATCCCTTGTTAGTCTGGAACCTGGGCCGCCTCACTGCCCGAGGCGAAGGGCAAGGAGCCAATGTCAGTCGAGAGAAAGTCCCACTTCCCAGCCCAGCTGCAGGCCAACCAGGGTCCCCACCTCTGCTTGGGATCCTATGGGCCACCTGCCACTGCCACCCACTCCAAGTCTGTTTACGCCGAGCCCTGGGTTTCCCCTTATCTCACGGTGGCCCTGTAGAGACAAGGGAACGTGAGCTCTCTAAGGTGGGGCATGACCATCCAGACCTCTGAGCCAACCAGGACCCTCCTGCCTCAGACTTGATCTCAGCCAGGACCTTCTCCTCACTCCAGTGTCTTCTAACAGCAGGAACAGGATGACGGAAAGATTCACTGGGGCTGCTTGCTGCGAGCTCCAAAGGGACAGGCAAAGTTCTGTCCAGAGGGTGCAGAGGTGCAGGAGGGAGCCTGAGGACACCAGCAGCACAGGTGCCCGGATGTAAATTGCTAAACACTCATTGTGGCAGGAGGAGGATGCCTCGGTACACAGGGACCTCATGAAGCTCTCAGAACAGCCCTTCTAAGCCAGCGGGCATGATGGCTGCTTCCCTTTTGCAGATGAGGAAAAGGAAGCACAGAGGTTAAGTGACTTGCTCAAGATCGCAGTGCTTGTAAGAAGTTTATCTGGTCCAGGAGCACATGCCCTTGACCTTCAGACTTCTCTGCCTCTGTGCAGCAGAGTACTAGCAGGTCGTGGACTGAACGGGGCAATAATGCTCTGCCACCCACAGCTGCCATCCTTGCTGTCCTCCAGCGTCTGAGTGTGACAGAGAGGACTTTGACAGGGCCCTGACCCTAGCCTGCATCTTACCAGCCCAGTGCTCTAATAGGTGGGGGCAGCAGCAGGAGGAGAAGTGCTATAAACGCAATCCTGCCTGTGGATCCCATGTGTCTCCACTTCCAAGCCTGCGTCTCCCAAAGGAGAAAAGCAGGAGCTCTGGATTCGGGGGGGGTGTCGAGTTCAAATCCTAGCTCTACCCCTCTACAGACCAGGGATCTTGGGAAAGACATACCTCCCCGAGGACAAGGACTCGATCTGGATTTTTACGTAAGTCTCCTCAACTTCCAATGTTGGCAACTGCTTCAGAATTTTAAAAACACTTTGAGAGGGCCAAACCAAACACATCTGTGGGCCAGAATCGACTGGTGAGAATAAACGAGGGCAGCGTCAAGCCCTAAGCATGGTGGCTGGCTCTCCACATAGGTGCTCGTCATTCTGTGAAAATCTGGGGCCAGGTGAGGAGTCCTCCTCGCTGCGCCCACCCGAGCGGCTCCTGTATAGTAAGTCAGCCCGCCCGGAACAGGACCCCTTGACTGCCAGTGCCCTTCTCATAATGCTGTTTCCTGCTGCCCAGGGGACTGTCACAGGTGACCCGCCAGCATGCAGACCTGCACCCCGCCCTCAGCCACCCTCCCCGTCCAACCTGCCCTCCGTGAAAACGCCCCAGAGTTCTCCTGGGTAGGGTGTTATTAAGGGAGCAGATTTTGTGTGGCTTAATTGGAATAATAACTAGGCTTCAGAGGGAAGCTGCTGTTTTGTGAGTGAAGCTTCTTTCCTTTGAACCAAGTCTGTTCCAAATGCTTCCCCGCCTCAGGTTGAGGCTCCACTGTCAGTGGCTAATGAAGCTCCGAAGGAGGCCTGGGCTCTCCTGCGGGACAGCCCTTCGTCCCCGGAACCCCCTTTCCAACTCAACTAGAAGACAGGGAGGACTCCTTCACCAAAGCTGAAATCTAGGTCGTGGTGGTGGGTGCTGACACTTGGGTCTTAGCCTCCAGTTTTCTCTCTCCACTGGCCCCTCCAATCTCTCCCAAAGCAAGGTCTGCTCTGGGAGAACACCCCAGTGTCCTAAGGCACTTACTTGTGGGGATAAAAGTGTTTCTGAAGCCCTACCTATAAAAGAGAGTCTAGGAAAAGAAAAGGTCCCCTTTTCCTTCCCTTGGCACCTCCTACACCACCCCAGCACAGAGACAGAGAGAAGGAGCTCTCCTTCAGGAGTGTGGGTGTCCTACTGTTCCTTCAGTGCAGAGCCCACAGCCTCTGTGCAATCTCTGCCCCACAGCCAACCCCTGGCAAGTCCAGTGGGCTCTCTCTTCAGAACATACGCTGGATGCATCCACTTTCCCTGCCTCTCTACTGCTACCACCCTGGCCCACCCCGGGTCCAAATCAGTCCCATCTCTTGCCTGGACTTCACACTCATCTCCCAGCTCCCGCTATTGCTCTTCCCCAATCTAGAATCCACACAGCAGCCAGAGTGACCTTTAAAAAAAACATAAATCAGATCTTGTCATACCCCCTTTTTAAAATCTTTCAAAGGCTTCCTGCTGATCAAAGGACAAAACTCAAGCTCTTGACCACAATATCCTACATGATCCAGCCCCTCCCTACCTCAGCAAGTTCACAGGGACCACTATCCCCTTCCTCACTGCTTTCTGGCTACATTGGTCTCCTTTCATCTCCTGAAATAAGCCAAATATTCGCTTCAGGACCTGTGCACAGGATGTGCTCGTTGCCTGGAAGGTTCTATGTAGTCTATGCATGTCTGACTTTTTATCCTTCACATTTCAGCTTAAATGTCAAGGAGGTCTAGGCCAGTTACTTTATCTAAAGAGAGCCCACAACGCCATTAGTCAACATCTGCAGAGCATCCACCACAATTACTGTCTGTCGATCTACTTGTTGAATGTCTTCCTCCTTGGAGAGGGGAGTAAAGAGCATGTCTGTCTGATCTCTGTGGGAGCCCCGTGGCCCCTCGAGTTATCCCCAGCACACAATAGGGGCTTGGTACCCAGGGAGTGCTGAGTAAGTTCTTGTCCCCTCCCTGTACAAGTGTGGGGAGCACACAGCCCAGCTGGCCGGCCTGCAGCTTGCAGGAACAAACACCCCAGGCCAAGATTTCACCCTGTTTTCACAGCCTGCCTTCCCCATCTTAACCTCACACATTTTCCAGGAGGCTTTATTTGGTTGGGCTCCTGGCTAATGATCAATGTCAACTCAGTAATAGGGCAGCAATTTGGTGGCAGATGTTTTCTTGGCAGCACTAGCCATTGGTCTTAGTGGGGGCCTTGGGTCTGGACTTGAAACACCAATGCCCAATGCCAGCCCCCTTTAAAGACCTCTCCGCAAATAAACTCAAATAAACACCCTGGGCCTCCATTAACGCTCTTCCAGCTGACCCTGGGAACAGTGGGCCTTTCAGCTCTGCTAGTGCAGCCGCTCCCTGGGCAGTTAAAACACCCCAACCTGGCCTCCGGCCTCTCCTCTCTGGGGGCCACCAGACCTGCCCTGCCCGCCACCACACACAGCAGGACTTCGTCTTCCTGCTTAAAAAAGGGGGGGGGGTTGGCTTTCAAGCAGGCAATTTACCATTCCAGACACAATCTTTCAAAGAGAAACAAAAACTTTCCCTGTCTGAGGCAGACCGCTTAGGCGTGTGTGTAATAAGATGCTAATACAATTTAATGATATTTCGGCTGGAAAACCTGTCCTCAGAGCCTCCTTGTGTCGGGAAGGCCAGACGTTCAGAAAACAAGAGCTGCACGCTCTTAAACCACTGTAAGTGGGGGTCAGAGCCCCGCTCTTTCCTATCTCTCATTAACTTTAATGCCTTCTTGGGGACAGTAATCACCATTACAGAAATGACTTTGTACACACGGATCCTCAAACGTCCTTCTCTGAGCATAGGGGCTCCTGAGCCCTTCTCCGACACTTATCATGGCCCACCTGCAATTCCAAGTGTCCCAGAGGGTACCCAGCTCCCTTGGAACATGCTGCCCACACCCACCCCCCAAACCCAGTTCTGGGGACATACCTAGGGGGTCCTGGAAGAATGAAAGGGGTTTTGTCTACTTTGTCCTTCGGCACCTTCTCACCCTACCCTCCACCTCAGAGAGGGCAAAGCTCAGTCCGCTTGCTCCCACAGATGGCTGCCCATTGGCAACTGCAGGGTTCTTCCGATCCCTTCTTCAGAGAAGGGAGCTGGCTCTCTGGCCTAGCCTAAAGGGGAGAGATCAAAGGTCAAAGCTGCATTTGGGCCCTCTGTAGATCATTTAGTAATAGTAAAAATGGCCAATACTAATCAAGTGCTTACCACATGCCTGGCTTTGGGTTTAATCTTCTTTATGCAATATACTGCTCAATCCATACACCAATCATGGGGTAGGGACTGTTATTAACCCCACTTGCAGAGGAAGAAAAGTGAGGCACAAAGCAACTGTCACAGCTGGTAACTGCATATAGCTATAGCATTCAAACCCAGGCTATGTGACTCCAGGTGGTGCACCCCGCCCCGCACGCTGGGCTACCATGCACAGGCCTACAACCCCAGAGTGTGGCTAGGGTACTCCAGATTCCTATGGGTTATCTGAGAACCTCCCTGGGTTCCTAAACTTCGAGCCACACAGTCAGGGTCCTATGTGGATGGAGGACAAAGCAGGCCAATCCTGGCCTTCCCCTAAAGCACCTAAAGGCAGAACTAACTGTGAGGTCTGTGAAGAGCCTGCTGGACGAGTTGTGAAGAATTTGGACTGGAAGTCACTGAACCCAGTCTTGGGTATAAGAAAAACTACCTCCCCGTTACTCGGAAGTCCAGTTAACCGGAACACCCTGCACCCCCCCCCAACCTCAAGGATGTGATAGTAGTCAGTGTCAAAGGCCTACCCTCAAGATTCTGGGGTGCACCTTGGGGACTGGGACCAGCAGTCCCACCTCACCCGCCAATGAAAGCCAAGTGGAAGCTCTCTTGGATTAGTGTTACTGGCCATTTAGCCGTGCAATTTAGGCAAAGGAAAAGCATGCTGGATGGGAAATGTTCTGGAAACATTTGCTGCAGCCCAAGTCCAAACAACTTTGTCCTTAAACACTTCATCTCCAAAAGTGCTGGGGAGACCTTTGGCCAAACAATTTCAAAACCAACACTCACTACAAGTCCTGCTGCCTGGGGCGAGGACTTCCCTCTGCGAGGGATTTGCCGTAGAACCAAATGCTTTTCCACTCCAAACAACAACCAACAGCGCTTGGGGCAACTGAGAGGACTCCAGATCAAACAAACATCCCCTTTTTCCCCCTACCATGCAAACCTTCTCAATAAATTATTCGCCCACTTCGGATCAAAGCCTGTTTTGCAGCCTGTGACCTAAAAAGCAAATAGCGTCTCTTAAACATGAAAGCCCTCCTCCCTGCCTGGGTCGTCTTTATTACTCATTCCTTCCCCTTACAGTTATTCTGTTGTTATTTTCCTCCTCTGCTTGTTAGATCGCTCTGCAAGTCCCAACCCGCCTGAGGAAGAAGAGACGGGAGGGATGGTGCGTTCACTTGGGGCCCTAAGGTGAGAGAGGAAGTCAGGGTAGGGGAGAAGCCAGCACCCTGGGAACCCAGGAAACAGGGCCAGGCCCGGTTGGCAGCTCCTTGCACGGCCCTTTTGCCAAATGTCCTACTGGGAATTTTACCAGTGAAGGGAGGCAATTAATGCCACGGTGGGAGGAGGAGCCAGGCGGCCGTACCACCACCTAGGCCCCTGATTCGGTCTGCAAACAGAAATGTTAAGGGGACGTCCTGATAGCCAGTCTAGGCTGAAAGCTTGGGGCTCCTCCCCTTTCCAACAAAGGCAAGGCGGCAGGCCAGTCCTGCCCTCTCAGCCCCTCCCCAATCCTCTTTAGAGCCGCTCTGAGTGCAGACACGAAGACCCCCAATGACCCCCTACAAACTCAGCCTCTGGGTAAAACTTTGTGTCCCGCAGTGGATGAGCAAGGGGTGCTGAGCGCGGGAGCAAGGTCTGGAAATCTGCAGAGAGCAGAGTCGCCCGGTGCAGCGTGCCCCTGGCTCAGGGCAAAGGGAAACATGGCCCCTCCCGCCCCACCAGCCCCGGGCACTAGACCTGCAGCCAAGGTGGTTAAAAAAAAGAAAAAAAAAAAAGCGTCCCGGCCCGCGGCGGAGGCTAAGGGGATTGGGAGGGGGTGGTGCGCGCCTCCAGCCCGCCCCTGGAGGCAGTCCGCGGGACCGCAGGCTGGAGGCGCGCCGGCGTGATTCCGACCGCGGGAGCCGGGAGGAGGAGCCGGAGGTGGCTGCGGGGGGCTCCGGCCCAGGCGAAGGAAGGGCAAGAGGCGGTTCGGGCCGGGGGTGGCGGACTTAACGCTAGGGGCGGGGGGAGGGCTTTAGGTGAAGCGGGTAAGAGCCGAGCCTCTTGGGAAGTGGGTAGCTACGTGTGGCGGGGGACTGGGTGTGTGGGGGATGTCCTGGGCCTCTGGAAGCCACAGCGAAGCCTTCCTGCCTGTCTCGCAGACATCCTCGTCTTCTGATGTAACAGCTACGAATCGCCAAGCTGACCCCTTCTCATCCCTTGGCCTGGAGAATAGAGTGGCTCAGGGATAGGCGGGAAGGGACCGGAGGGAGCCACAAGTCTGCACCCAGGCGGGGAGGAAGCGGGCGGGTGCCGCTCCGCAGGCGCAGGCGAGTGGGTGGGAAGGAAGGAGGGAGAGAGGGAGGAAGGAGGTGAGGCCGGGAAGATGCCACTGCCGGGGGCGGGGCGCGGCTGGGGATCCGGGAGAGGGACTGCAGCGGTGCTTGATGGGGGCTGGGGCTGCAATGTCACTTATTTGAGGGTCAGGTGAGCATGTCCCAGGCTCAGACTGCCACTTGCCTACATCTTCCCGGTACCACCCAGGGCGCAGGGGCGGAAGCGGAGGGCAGGGGACTGCATTACCGTTCCCGAAGCGGGACGCGAACCAGGAGAGTTGGGAGAAGGTAAACAAGGGCCACGCCCCCTGCCGTCGCCCCGCGGGCGCGCACCCGCCGCTCCGGCCGCAGCCGGTACATTTCCACTCTCCCAGCGCTTCTCCCCCGCCGGACTCCCGCGCAGCCCCGGAGGGGGGCTACCCCCAACCCCAGCCCCCGCCCCGTACGCCGGGGCTGCACACCCGGCATACTCACCTGGAAAGGGTGTCCCCCGCCCCTCCAAAACACTGTGTTTAATTTGTGCAGAGCCTCCGAGCCGGGGAGCTGAGCATGCTGCCCCCGCGTGCAGCGCCCGCGTGCACCCAGCCCAGAGAGGGGGCGACAGGGCGGAGGCGGTGGCCCCCGGAAGGTGTCTGGGACCGGACCGGCTGCACGTGAGCCCAGCGCGGAGTCATGTGCACCGGCTCAGCCCGGTTCGGCGGCCGGACGTGCTGCGTATCAACAAAATGAAACTCAGGGCGACAGGAGGGCAGATAGGTCCAGGTCCTCTGAACCCCCATCCCCGGCAGAACGACCTCCCCACCACTGCTGTCTCCCGCCGCAGCCCCTCCGCGCGGCCGGAGCCCGCGGGGCAAGTTGCAGCCCTAGCGCGCCCCCGCCCGCCCGCGCCCCCTCACCGGCCCGGGGGCGCTTTGCCGCAGTCATTAATAAAGAAGGTCGCCAAGCTCACCCTTCCAAAAGTTGTTGTTGCATGCGCCCCTCTCAGCCTCCCCGCAATGTACTCTTTAAAACACGACTGACCAACATGCGCAATCTCTCTCCCCTGTGCTGTGCATCCCCCCCCGCCCCGCGCCCTGGCTTCCTAGAACAGGCAGCCAGCAGGAGAGAGAGGGAGCGAGCGAGCAAGAGAGAGAGAGCGAGAGAGCGAGGAGCGCTGGCAGATCTGTTGCAAAAACACAAAATAACGCCGCGGAGATGCGCAGGGCCCATCGCTGGGGGCTGGATCTTACCTTCCTCCGCGGTGCCCTTCCGAGGGGCGCTGCCCTGGGCTACGCGCCGCGGCGGGGGCTGGCGCGGGAAGGATGCTCCCGAAACCCGGAGCTCCTGGGGCCGGCGCGGGCGGGCGGGGGGCGCGCATCCATCCGGGGTCGCAGCGAGGGAGGCGGCCGGGCCTGCGGCGTCCCCGGCCCCGCACCCCTGCTGGGGACGGTCAGCCCGCTGGACCTAAGCCCTTGCCGCTAGGAATGGGCGCAAAGTAACTCCATGGACGCTACTCACCCCCCCCCAAAAATAGCCTCCAACTGCGATGGCCGCGGTCGGCACCATTCACCAATCCCCCTGTGTATGTTTCTGTTTCTTTTTAAACCAAGACTTCCTTGTGATCTCTTTAGAAAAAAAAAAATGTGTTGGGGTGGGGGTGGGGTGGGGGCGGGCGGGAGGAGCGAGGGAGGGGGAGTAGCCACTTTTTTCTTATTCACTCGGATCTCCACTCCTGACACCCCCCGCCGCCCGCCCCACCCCCCCGCCCAGTTGTTTGGCTTCGGCAGCGGGTCCAGGTAGCGTTGCAGGCCTCGGGGGGAGGGTGCTCTGCCGGGCCGTCCGTGTGCCTGCACCTCGGGCCCAGACTCCCCATGGGCTCTGGGGCGCCCCCAGCCCGCCCTGTCCCCAGGGCCGGGCCGAGCGGCGGCTGCGCCCGTGCAAGTCCCATCAGGTCTGCTCACACTTCACACACTCACACACACACCCCGCCCCTCCACTCTCTCACTCACACTTTCTGCTCACACTCCGCCCCCTTCGCGCCCCAGACCCGGGCGGCGCCCCCCGCAACCTTAAAAAAAAAAAAAAAGCAAGCTTATACTTAAAAAAATCTTTTGGCGCCATATTAATGACGTACTTAAAATTTGCCATTTCTCCCTGCGTCAAAAAGACGTTTCTTTGCAAATAACAGCCTGAAGGCGACACTCGCGGAGGGAACGAGGTTTGCACTGAGCACCCCGCCTCCCGGGGCTCCAGCGCTGGAAGACCCTCGCCCTAGGCCCTGCTCCCGAATCGCTGGTTTAAAAATGCGAATCGAATAAATCGCGTGGCGCTTTGCAGCGCCAGAAGTGAGCAGAAAGTGCTGGCCGGAGCGGAGGGGAGGGGCGCGCGCGCGAGTCTGGGGGAGGGGGCGCGGCCCTCCTCCCCCACCCACAGCAGATGGAAACTAACATCCCGGGCGGGGGAAACTTGAAATTGTGGGCGACCTCAAGAAAGGAGGGGCGGTCCGTAGAAAGGGTCCCTCTCGGGTTCGTCGCCCCCTCCCCCGCCCGGGTGCCTCCGGGTTCCCAGCTCTGCCCCGCATTTCCGGGGGGTGGGGAACGCAGTGATGGGTGGGTGGGTAGCTGCTCGTCCCGGTCCCAGTTGGAGTTTGCCCCGCGGTGTCCCCTTCCCCCCCCAGCTCGTCCTTCCCATTACCCCTAAAGGGTTAAAAACCGAGGGGGCAACTTCCAAAGGTTGGCACTTGGCGAGGAAGCGGGGCGCCCCTCTCCCCACCCTTCGCCTCCTCGCCCCTCCTCCTCCGGCTCCACTTCCCGACTTGACCTTGTGGTGCACAAACAGTGCGCTCGGATCCTCGCAGTTTCTGGAAGAAGCGCTTGCGCTCGCCAGGCAGGCGGGCTGTCGGGCGGCTCGCAGGCGGTGGCGGGGCCTTGGGTCCGTTCCCGGAGCCGCGGGCCACACCCACCCAACCCGCTGCGCCCGCCACGCTCACCTTCTCTCGAGGAAGGAGCTGGGCTGGCCTCCTGGGTGGGGAGGTGTGGGGGGCAAGCTGCAGCCTTTCCGGATGCTCCCAGCTGGGGAGGGGCTGGTCTCAGGCTGGGGAGACCTGGGAGCCTGGGTCAACATCCCCAAAGCATCGCTGCCAACTTTTCCTATCCTCTCCCTTTGGCTGCCCCTCAGAGATAATCCAATAATTTTTTTGAACTCACCTTTGGCTTTGAAGGCGTGTGGGTGAGTTGTGAACGGGGACAGCAACCGCCTTCCCTCTCCAAGACTGAAGGTTGTTTGTTCTTTCTTTCTTTCCCTTCCAGCCCCCTTCTATGGAAAGATAAATATACAATTTACATAAGATGACATTTATGTGACAATTAAAAAGATCCCCTGATGGAATGTTGTGAACACATTTGCTTATAGGAGAAATAAATCTAATAATAAACAAACCCATAATAAAAGCACAAATCCTCTGACAGGGTAGATTGTCTACACAACAAAGAGGGAGATGATGAATGCAGAAATAAGCACTTTTTGCAACAAGAAAGAAATATGAGCTCAAAGGGAGTCACTGCAACATTTTCTTCCTTGACCTTCATTCACAAAGTCTGGGGAGGCTTGTCTGGCAAGATTGAGGCACTGGGGTACCACCTCCTGGTTAGACCTGACTCCAGCTCTGAGTGGTCATTTGTTAGGATTTTCTCAAACCGAAGCTCAATGCCAGAAAACAGATGACACGGGCCGTTCGCATGAAACAAAAAGGTTAAATACCTGGATTCTAATCCTGGCTTTGCAATTGAGAAGCTACTTGATGTGGACAAGTGCATTCATCTCTCTGGGTCTCTTTCTTCTTCTGTAGAACAGGATGGCTGGAGGGGTCCTGGGGCGGTGTGTGTGTGTACATGCTGTTTGTGTAAACACAAACACTCCTGGCTCAGAGTGCACAGTGCACATTAGCACTTTCCCTGGTGCTTAAGTTTTGGAAGGGTGACCGTGCTCCCTGAAAGTTCTTAACACTGAAAAACTGGAGAACAATGATTTTTGTCTTGCTCTCCATGAGGACCTAGACAAGATCTCCCAGTTGGGGCAAAAAAGAAGGCGAGGAGAAAAAACTGATACGTGGTGGGCTTCATGGTCAAGGTCCAGATGGCAGTCTCAACCACACATCTGAAGTGGGAATGGGGGTACCAAGTGATAGTGGCACAGTCTAAAGAAACCGCTCTGATTGGGTCTGGTTGCAGAGGACTTACATGCACCAAAGGATGGGACAGGCTCCTCCTCTTAAGCCATCAGGATCCTGTGAACCTTGGCAAGCAATTATAAAATGACCTAGAGAGAAGGAAGAGGGAGAAGATGACCATTTATAGAGCACCTGCTCTGTGCTGTGCACTATGCAAGTCGTTCCATTTCGTCCTCACAAAAATCCCATTTTACCTATTGAGAAAGATTTAGTGACTTACTAACAGTCACACAAGCTAGCAAGTGGTGGTAGAATTAGCACCTAGTCCACACGACCCCAAAGACTACATTTTTTCCATTTTACCCCACTGCCAGAAATAAAAAGTAATAGCATTATTGGTTTGATTGAGGAAGGGGGCCTGACTGATATAATAGCAAGAAAGAATTTTGTGGGTAGTACTTTGCCTCTAAGGTGGTTCACTGAATTTGGGTGAGACCCAGGTCATCTAAGGAGTCCTTGGAAGGCACTTCTTGTTTAGGACTGGAAGCTCCATCAGAATTCTTGGATTCCCACTGTTCTCTGCTACTGTTTAAGGTTAACCTTGAAAATGTTAACAGAATAATAGCAATGGAGCTAATTATAACTCCTTAGTCTTTAGTAAAAACCTCACAAATCATTAATTTATTATAGAAAAAAAATGAGAAGAAACATAAAGTTCTTGGAGACGTAATTATTCACTTTTTTCAACAAATATTTATTGAGTGTGGGGCGCCTGGGTGGCTCAGTTGTTAGGCTTCTGCCTTCGGCTCGGGTCATGATCCAGGGATCCTGGGATCGAGCCCCACGTTGGGGCTCTCTGCTCAGCGGGAAGCCTGCTTCTCCCTCTCCCACTCCCCCTGCTTGTGTTCCCTCTCTCGCTGTGTCTCTCTCTGTCAAATAAATAAATCTTTAAAAAAATATTTATTGAGTGCCTCTGGTATGCCACGCACCATTCTAGGGGCTGAGGACACAGCACAAAAATGACAGACAAAAATGCCTACTCTCATGGAACTCACTTACTAGTGGAAGGAGATACACAAAATTTTTAAAAGTAAAATATATTTGAAGGTTAGTAAATGCTATTCCGAAAAAATTAAGTAGGAAAGGGGGATAGGGAATGTGGTCATGCAATTTAAATAGCGTCCTCAGAGAAGAGCTGCCTGAGAAGGTGGCTTCTGCATAAAAGGAGGTGAAGGAATGAGCTGTGAGGGCTTATGGGAGAAGAGCGAGCATTCTAATTCTAAGTCAGGGGTTCTTGACATGGAGTCCATGGACAGCCCCCCTCCAGAGATCTGTGGATAGAAATTCAGGGGGTCTTGGCTTTAGATGGGGAAAAAATTATATCTTTATTTTCACTAATTAACATTTAGCATGTTCTTCGATTATGAATGCAGACAGCAAATCACAGTGATATTAGCACCACCTGTGAAGCCATTGCTAGTAGAAATCACAGATATTTTCATATCACATTATCGTTGTTACAACTACCTTAAAATATCATTACAGTTATCACTACTTCATAATTATGCTGCTAGCTCTTATAATTCAATGAATTAATAAGAAACACATATATTACTGTGTATTACACATTTTAAAAATACTTTGAGAGTTGTATTTCAACATACTTGGTTTTCTTTATAATTTACGAAGCTTATTTTATGCACTTAAAGATATTATTCTCAGAAGGAATCCATAGGCATCACAGACTGCCAAAAGGGTCCATGGTACGAAATAAAAGAAACAGTCTCCACGGAGACACCAGCAAATGCAAAGGTCCTGAGGCAGGAATGTGCTTATTATGTAAATGTATAAGAAAGAGATTATATAGGGTACTGTTAGGAACTTGGCTTGTGCTAGGTGTAATAACGATGCTTTTGAGCAGGGGAGTGACATGGTCTGACACTGGATTTTACAGGTTAGTTTGCTGTCAGATGGAGGACAGCCTGAAAGCAGAAAGGTTGAAGCTGGAAGACAGGTTAGAAGGTTACTGTAATAGACCAGGTGAGAGATGATGTTAGCATGCACTACTAGAGGGGCGCCTGGGTGGCTCAGTCATTAAGCGTCTGCCTTCGGCTCAGGTCATGATCCCAGGGTCCTGGGATCGAGCCCCGCATCGGGCTCCCTGCTCGGCAGGAAGCCTGCTTCTCCCTCTCTCCCTCCCCCTGCTTGTGTTCCCTCTCTCGCTGTGTCTCTCTCTGTCAAATAAATAAATAAAATCTTTAAAAAAAAAACAAAACATACACTAGAATGGTAGCAGTGGAAATGGTCAAATTCCATATATATTATGAAGATAGCTCTGACATTTATTGATGGGGTGTGAGAAAACAAGGAGTCAAGAATAACAACAAAAGTTTTGTCTTGAGCCAGTGGAAAAACAGAATTGCCATTAACTGAGATGTGCAGACTATGGAAGGAGTAGATTTGGGGCAGGGTAAGGAGCTCAGTGTTACACATGGTAAGCTTAAGAGACCTACTAGATGACCAAATGCTGCCATCCTGTAGGCGGCTAGAAATGGCAGCCTCACCTCAGGGGCATATTCTGGGCTGAAGACATCTTTTGAGAGGTATCTATAGGTGACTGGTATTTAAAGCTATCTAAGGCTGTTTGAGATCACTAAGGAAGTGAGTGTAGAAAGAGAAGAGGTCCAAGGATGGTGCCCTTGGCCACTGCAATGTTAAGAGGTCTGGAAGATGAAGAAGAATCAGCAAGATATTGTTAAAAAGGAAATGTTCAGACATTTCTCCAAAGAAGAGATACAAATGGCCAATAAGCACATGGAAAGATGCTCAACGTTGCTAATCATTAGGGAAATGCAGATCAAAGCTGCAATGAGGTACCACCTCACGCCCAATAGGATGGGTACTATTTTATTTTATTATTTTATTTTTTTAAAGATTTTATTTATTTATTTGAGGGGGTGGAAGAGAGAGTGCACGTGCACAAGCAGCAAGGAGGGGCAGAGGGAGAAGGAGAAGCAGACTGCCCCTTGAGCAGGGAGCCCAACATTGGGCTTGATCCCAGGACCCTGGGATCCATGCCCCAAGCCAAAGGCAGACACTTGACCGACTGAGCCACCCAGGCACCCTGGATGGCTACTATTTTAAATATTTTTATTTTATTTATTTTTTATAAGAGATTATATTTATTTATTTATTTTTAAAGATTTTATTTATTTATTCATGAGAGACAAAGAGAGAGAGAGAGAGAGAGAG